ATTTCATTAACCATGGAATAAAATGTCTTAACCAAACCGTCCAAATTAACACGAAAACCAAATTAACCAAACCAAAGTTTAATTGGTTTGGTTAATCGGATTAACTAAATAACATAACATTACATGAAAACAATTATCTTGTTAATGAATAAACATAACCATATGTTGTTATTATCATAAACTATCATTATATATAAGCAACAATAATAAGACTAACTATTCATTATTATCAATTTATCATCATCATTCGAGTTAATACATCATTCATCATCTCTGCACCTAATATAGTTAGATTACAACAAATCCCTTAACACAAAAACATACCAATACCCCTCATGAGGAAGTTAAAGCCCTCCTACAAAACACTTAAACTATTCATAGTTTGAAGTGGCTATCATGGTATTGTACGTAATCCTCAAGTCTAGTAGCTGTCCAAAATGTTTTGGTTTAGTAGATAGACAAACCCCTTCAATTTTTGACCCATAATGTTTTGGTATGTCGTGCACATGGAAATAATATAGGAAATCACTAAAATTTGGTTTGGTTGGTTGCATGGAAGTATAAATAATTTTGTATATTAGGTGTATCATTAATTGGTTAATTGGTTTCATTGGTTAGTAGTGTTGAAGCCAAACCAAACCACCTAAACTAGATAAGCTAAATTGTTTAACCAACCCAAACCAATTATCCAAACCAAATTAACCGAATACTACCGGTTAATATGGTTACCATGGTAACCAATCCGTTTAAACACTCTAGTGCTGTATTCATAAAAAAAAACCTCTTCCCTCTTCCGATTCCAATTATGGGTGAACTTCCAATCCCAAATTCGATTTCAGTTGCTCCTAAATTCGAGTTTAGTTCACGCCCTTTGATTTCCCTCTTTCAATTCCAGTTCTCGTCCGTAGGCGTACGCTAATTTCTCATCAGCAGGCAGACATTGATTTCGATCTTCTACTCCAAAGCTGGACTCTTCTTCAACGGCTACTGGAGGGGTCGGTGAAGGGGAAGATGAATCGAGGTTGGAGATGGAGTAGGAGGAATCAATGAATATAAGTCGAACAAACTAACCTAATCAACGTCTTCAGTAGGGAGGTGTTGATTCTGATCTTCTACTACACAGGTGGTTTTTCTCCAACAACTGTTGGAGGGGAAGCTGAAGACGATGAGTTACAGAAGAGGAAAACAGTTGGAATGAGTTCGCCGGTGCGGTAGATGTGAGGGTTCAGTGAAGCCGTGAAGGGCTGAAGGCTTCGTGGGGAGGAAAGAAAGTCAGGCCCAAGTTAATTGGGCTATTCCTTCTCCCACAGGCTGGAAGTAGGGCTGGGTTTTGATGTTTTGTAACATGAAACGCAGATCAGAATTAATTGTGAAATGTTTGCAATGTCCTTCCACAGAACACTCTCGGACCACTGGACCAGCAATTTCAAAAAGCTGAAAATCAAGAGCATGAATCTCTATTATATACTTTGTAGATGGATGATACCCCAAATTGCCATCCCTACATAGGGTGGACCATTTTGGGAACCCTATCCCGGCGGGGAGCTTGGACGGTCAACACAACATTGCGAGCTTGAGGCCTGGTCGTCTAGTAGACAAATTAGAGTTTGGCTTGGGCTTGGGCATTTTCTGAACTCAAATGGGACCCAATTCACTTGCATCATGTAAGAACGCAAAACGAGCTGTCCTTTTGCTCAACTTGGACTGGACCTCAAGCATTTCCTAGTTTCTCTAGTTTCTTTCTACTCTCCTCAGTCCTTTCCCTTCGTCTCGTCTGTCTCGTCTGCGGTCTGCCACGAACTAGGGCTTCCATTCCGAAATCAGTTTGCAGCGTTCGAAGCTTAAGGCGAGGTTTCAGCGCCGGAAGTTAGGACCTTAGCTCGCTTTACTCCAATCGCCGGCGCCGGATCCCTACCGTAAGTGGCCGCTATTCTAATTTTCATTTGCTGTGAACTTCCCTCCGTTTGCTTTTCCGTTCTTGTTTCCTGTAGGAGCCACGATTGCTGTATAGCTGTGATCGAAGTTCGCCTTTTTGCCTAGACGGAAGTGAATTCCTCGGTTGAAATCGTTAGTTTCTCGTTTTCTTGGACCATAAGCCTATATCTAGTCTCACCTTAGAGAACTTGCTTTCTTTTCTCTTTGGATGAATACAATTCGAATTTGAGAAAATAGGGGTTGGTGGGTGTTGTTTGATGAACTAGGTTGGAGGATGGGAGGTATTTAGCTCGGCCTCGCAAGTATGATGTGCTTTTGGCACGAAATACCCTATTGACCACTGCATTTGGGTCCTCCATCTTACATTTCTTTTCATTCCTGTTGAATGTAAGCTAGCGATATGATCATTCAGAAAGGTTTGTAGTTTGTGTCCCTTTTGATCTCCCCTTATAGTCCCCTGCTCAGCCACGCTAATTACCGTATGTTTTGATTGATGAGTTGAGGTACTTACTTATTGATGAGTTCTAAGTTAAGACTCTATTTCCTTGATTCTAGCCTATAGCTGCGTCAGTATTCCTATACGAACACTCTACATGCTCTGCTACTTTCTGGAATAGGTTCGCTATATTTAATGTAAGATATTTTGTGTTGTACAAATCTGTCGAGATTGTTGGTTGCGAGTTCAGCATTGTTTGATGCTATGGAATCGGCCAATAGGTCATGGTTTGAGGGAGGATGGGGATAAGTTAACTTATCCTCTTTTGATGACTATGGAATGTGATAAAATTTTCACCACTTGTGGAACTTCGTTAAGCTGCTCTTTAGAATCAAACATTGTCTGCACTTGTCCTTGTACTTAAATACTTGTTCAAAGTAGAACGTTTGAGTTCAGTAAATAATGCTATTTGTCCAACAAAAATCATTTTCCTTATTTGTACATTATGTTTCTCATAGTCGTGGACCATTGTTTTCGGTGTGATGAGTAACCACAAGAGTTTATGATTTCAGCTTCTAGAATTCTTAAAATCCTCAGCCACAGGCTTTTGATTTCTCACATTACCATAGTTTTTGTCTTCCAACTCTTCTGAAAAGGGAAGTCATAATCCCTGAAACTGTGATTTCTCAATTTGGAGTACTCTTCGTTTCAACAAATCTGGGACCCTTTTGATGTCATTTGTGGAGGCAGTTTTCTTTGGCTGCAAAAGTATATGCTAGAATAATGGATAGATAAACTAAGATCCCCAACTGAAGTCGCTATACCACTGAAATTGTGATCTGGGAATGAGTTTCAATATGGATAAGATTGCAATGCATAAATATATTCATCTATTTCACGATTCTTGGTCTGTGATCATATGAAGCATTTTGTCTTCCAAGTAGAGGACGCTTGACTCTACCTTTCTATTGCGGGTGATTGTGTTCAGATTCGAAGACCGTTAAGATGTGGGAGGATGAGCCAAAGTGTATAAAAGATCACAACCGTCGGTTGCTGGCAGAGAAATTTGAGCTGAAGAGAAACCTGTACAAGGCCTTCATCAGAGATCCCGAGCTTCCAAGTGAATTGCGTGAGAAGCTCACTGCCAAACTGTCCAAGTTGCCGAGAAACAGCTCCTTCACACGAATCAGAAATCGGTGTGTCTTCTCCGGTCGCCCTCGCGGTGTTTACGAGTTCTTCAGAATGTCTCGTATTGTCTTCCGCACACTGGCAAATCAAGGAATGTTGAATGGTGTGAAAAAGGCTTCTTGGTGAGCTGGTCGAGGCCGCGGATGGAATGTACACTGCAAGCCCCCCTAGTAAAACTTTCAACACTTTGTACCGTCAGATGTTAGTGATTTTAGCTTGAACAAATTTCGACACCTCCGCTGGAATAAGTGCTGCTGGCCTGAGTTTTTGTAATGCTGAAACAGATTCTATTGTTTTGAAAATTGGCAAAAACGAACCTGGAAAGCCATGTCACCATAAAGGCTTCGTGCTTGATTAAGCTCTCACTGTTCTAATTTCTTTAACCAGCTTCCAACTACTGCCTTCTTAGACTTGGATCGCAACATATCGGTCATCACCATACTAAGACCCTGTCCCAACTCTTCCAGCTCTGCTTCACGGGCGAAAAACAGGAGACCCTAACACAGAGAACCGCCATATCCGCCAAAGTCACAGTAGCTTCACGCCTTCACCCCATGGGAAAAACTGAAGTGTTGGGCTTATAACACCATCTCTCCGCCAATCCGAAAATCAAGTTGTCTGTCTCTTTTGATTTCGTGGAGGCCGGATTTCTCCCAACTTCCAATTTCTTGTTCCGTACCTGTGCCTCCAATCTCCATCCAGCAAAAGAAATGCCTTGTCCCGAGGGTTTTAGGGAGATGATATCGGGGGAGGGAGTCTCAAAGATCGTTGCTTTGAATGAAGAAAGGGAGGGCCGGAAGGTTTCTGGAAATGGGCAATCCTGTTCCTAGGGCTTGCTTCACCGCCGAGCAGAGAGATCATAGTCTCTTCTCTGACTTCGACAATGGCGGTGGATAATGGCTCCGTCTCCGTCGGTTCCAGTGGTTGTTTGATCTTCCACATTTCTCAGAGAGTGAAGAGTGTGAATATGGAATGGGAGTGAAGAGTGCTGAGCAAGTTTTACAGGTAAACCCACTCTCCACGTTTCCATTTTTGATCGATTGAACCAGTTAGATTGACGAAGTGGTAATTAAAAAAATAATATAATCTGTTATAGAAAAATTAATCTTTTTTTATTTTTATTTTCCTTCGTTTCCCGAATCCTCCTTTTGTTGCTACTTATCAGCCACAGCCCACAGATGCTGATACTGATGCGTCATCGGTCCGCAAGAAGCATCCAAAATCGGAAAACCTGCACGTTCATGCAGTACGGACTACACCCCGAAACAGAAAACCTCCAAATTTCGTCTCATTTCCTCTTTGCTCAAGGAAGCGAATTCTCTTGCACCTCCTGCATTTCTTCTTCCCGGGAGTAGCGAAACCGATCCTCCAAATTTGTGAAACGCAGAAGCTTTGCTTGACTGGTCTTCTTACAGTAATGGATGATGAAATTTCACTCCAGGAGGACGCCATTGTTGAGAGCAGAGAAGCTGTAATGGTGTCGCCTGTTGGCAACTCCATTCCAACTTCAAGATTGAGCCATTTCCTCAAACCCAGAAATCTCTCCACCTCTTCCATTGAAGGGCAGGTTCATCTCAAGCACCCATTACTGTTCCCTTCCTCTGCACCACTGTTCTGCCACGGTAAGAAGTGGCCGCTGCAAGTGAGCTTCATGGGCTGGCAGAATCCGAACCCTAAGTGGAAATCATGGGTCGACCACTTGTCCCCGTCTTACCAATCCGTGTGGAGGGAAGCTGGCATCTACGAAGCAATCTTGGGTTCCACTTGCAGCTTCCGTAAGGACGACGGCTTGATCATGGCAATGGCGGAGAAATGGTGTCCGGAGACTAACACGTTGTTTTCCCCTGGGGCGAGGCCACGGTGACGCTTGAGGATGCAATGATTCTGGGAGGCCTCCCTGTTTCGGGTCACCCATTTTTCGCATGCGATTGTGATGGTCGAGAATTGAAGCAGATTGAGAAGAAATTGGTGGAGGTTGCAGGTCGAAGACAGAGGAGGAGCACTACCGATGAGGATTTCCAGAATGAATGGATGAGAGTGTTTATGTGCAGCGGGATCGAAATCGAGCACGAAGCTTTTCTCTCGCTGTGGCTGGAGAGGTTCGTTCTCAATGATTCCGAGGGTTCTCCCAAAGCTTCAGTTTTCCCTATTGCTTTACATTTAGCCAGGGCGAAACCTGTGGGGCTTGCTTCAGCAGTTCTGGCAAACATTTATAGGGATATGAGCCTGTTGAAAGCAACGATAGTGTCTGCTTCACAGATGGAGACATCTGAACCTGATGCCGAGGTAATGGCGGTCAACCTTTGGTCTTCACTTCATTTGGTCCAGCTGTGGGCTTGGGAGAGATTTCCTAAGCTCCGCCCAACACCCAATCCCATCCAAAAAGATGAACCCAGGTCATTTATGTGGGACAATTTGAGAAGCAGGAGAGTTAGGGATTTGAGGTTGGCTTTGGACTCAGCAGGGGATACTTTCAGCTGGAGGCCTTATGCTGTTTCACTCAATGGTTGGCAGTTTCCAGATTTCTACAGGGGAAATGGAGAATGGTTGGACATGGAGTCTAATGAGAGCTTGCTGCCCTACTCTTTATGTCTGAGGGTATCTGAGCTGGTGGGTCAAGGTTGTGTGGAGCAGTATTTGCCACATCGTGTTGCCATGCAGTTTGGGATGGATCAAGACCTTCCTCACAATGTTGATCCATCAAATGAGTGCCCTGAAATGGTTTGGCTAAATTATATTATGTCGTTTGGTAATGCTAAAGTTTACGTTCCACCTAGGTTATTTGAGCCTGATGTTACTGTTGGGTACTTGAACTGGTGGAGAGAGCCGATGTTGTCATCAGAAGGCTTGCTTAAGGATGCGCCAATTGCAAATGGTCTTGCACGACGAAGAAGAACTCCAAGTAAGAGAAGAAAGCTTGCTCATTTATATTCATCAGGTGATCTGGAAGCTAATATTACTCCACAGGTAGCACAAGGTGTACTTTTTCCTTCTGGTCTTCTTACCATGTCACGAGAAGTAAAAGTTGAAAAAGTTGATGATGATAATCTTTTATCATCTGCTAAAGAAAGCCAGATAGTCCTACGTAAACTTGTGGAAGTGAAAGCAGAAACTAACTATGATGACTTCGATTATCATTCACTTGGTGTTTCACGTGCAAAAGAAAGCCTTACTTCACATAGAGAGGAGTTGTTGCTGGCTACACCAGTAAAACATGCTTCTGCCATGGTGTCTTCTGCAGAAAGAGCAAGTTCTTCCGAAGATTCAATGGAGACCAAGCCTGTGATTCCAGCTGATCATTTGAGGCACCTAGAGAAGATTGGAGGAGATATATGTGGGGATAAATCAAGGAGCATAACAGAACTAGCAGTACTTGACCGGCTTGCAGAACTTGAGAGAGCTCTTGCTGAGTTGAAGGCAACACAATGCATCGTCAAGGTTGAAAGAGACTAGAGGATTAATAGTAATTCTACTGTAGTTTGTGGAGTATATGAGAGTGCCTGCTTGCTTTCTAGCTTTTTGGTTCCCCTTTCAGGATACTTGATACTGGGGGTACTTCATCAGATGAGACCACATTATCTCGTTGGGTCTTTTTGTTTTTGCACTGACATAGTTGGAATGAGTATGAGATTTGTTATTAGCTTTTCCTCTCTTCAGATCTTATCTATTTCTCCTATCCACTTGCTCTACTTTGATTGATGTTCATACTTTCAATTGGAAAGTCAATCATGTTGCTTCCCAGAATCTACATCTTTGAATTAGTGATTAAGTTTCTGTTATGGTTACACACATGGTGGTGGCGTAGGCTTTTTGTTGTTGTTGTTTGCTTATGTGGGCAACTGCAGCTTCATGTTAGCTACGAACTAGAAGAAGGTAAGGTATGTCTTCCAGATTGTCCAAGTTCTCTGATTACATGACCAATTTACCATGTTTCAGTCTCTAATATGAACAATATAAATCCGGTTGAATTCTAACTTATGTAAGATTTACAGTAACTCTAACTAGTGGGGTTTCCTTAGTATCGGGCTTCATGATTCCAGTCTTGGTGTGTTTCCTTCGAATTAGTAGTGACTGCCGGCATTCATCAGGCTAGCAGATAGAAGAAGGAATATGCTCTTGAGACGATCACAGGTTTGCGGCAATGCCGATGTTTCTTCTGCTTTCAGAAATAGCTGACATAAATATCATCAGTGACAGCTTTCATTCGCAGGACTTTGACATGTCCGACCGTTGGGGAATGGCTATAGATTAAAACAAGACAAGAACACGCCAGACAACTCATCCGAGGGGAGGCCATCCTCGTGGCACAGTGACAGCCAGGAAAAATGACAAAAAATTGGGTTTTCAGATGGTTATGGCTTCAGGATTCTACTGATTGCGCCAGGTAAGAGAAGGAAAGAAGAAAAAGAAAAGATGTCACCTTTTCTTAATCAATGATAAACCCAACAGCATCGCTTCATTAGCCTCCATCTCTGTCTGTTTAGCTTAACAAGAATGAGAATCCTTTTTGTTTTTTGGTTTTCTGGTAGGATAGATACAGTTTATTTATATATTTTTTTAAATAATGAAAAGTGTAAAAGGGTGAAGACTGTCTGTTTTGCTATAATTAGCAAATTGACCAAGTCATTTCTCGCCTTCTTGTTACCTTTGTTCTATGTTGGTTCTACAGGATAATGAAATATGATATGGGGATGAGTTAATTGTGTTTTCTGAGAAACCGGGAGCAGAAAATTTTGGTTCCTCCAAAGGGGCCAAGGTGATCGGCACTAGCTTAGCAGATCATTTTCCCCACCCCCTTCGCATCTCTTTCAGGAACTGGCCATTTCTTTTGCCAAATCTCCAGTTTCTGAATGCCTTGCAGGCGGCCAACGCTTCATGCCTCTGATCCAGGGTACCGAGGCTGGCCACCTGGTCACCCTTCTTTGAGATTTACAAATTTTTATATCTGCACAGCAGCACTTTTGAAGCTCATAACTTTATCTTGGGATGCTGAAGATCAAGCAAAAAGGTTGTCAAGATGAGTTGCTTTTCGTGTTGTTCAGGAGAGAAACTAAGCAGAAAGTCATTGAAGAAGAGTATTAAGAATTACAAGGACACAAAAACCTTAGCATCATTTGCCAACCTCTCCTTCAAAAGTGGTATGTTTCATGTCATTTCTATATTCTCTTTCCTCAGGACAGGTTTCATGAAACCTTAGGATGATATGATGAAAATGGCTCTGGTTCTTCCTCATGCAACCCTTGTGTTACAGAAGTCAGACAGACAGGAAGATTTAGAGGAATGTCTGCCCAAATTCTGCAAATTTTTGTTTTCTTCAAATTAAGATTCTTGGGCTTACGGTTTTTAACATATGGTAATTGAACTTCTGCTTCTATTTCTTATGATGGGACCGCCAACTATGCTGGCTAACCTGAACCTTCCATGATAAGCTTGAGTGTTCCTTGACCTGATTGAACATGTTTTTAGCATTAACCCCTGTAGTTTTCACTTCTCAGATAGCAGCAGGAGAAGGTACATAACAGAAGAAATAAAGAAAATTGGAAAAGGAAATATATCTAGCAAAGATATTCTCATTCCGGGAATTGACGGTAGCAACTCAAAACTTCACCCTGGAAAATCTGATCGGAGAAGGAGGGTTTGGGAGGGTGTACAAGGGCCAACTTGAAGATAAGGTAGTAGTACTTCCACCATCATTCTTTGTTTCAGGACCACTTCTCTGGGCAGCAAAAGTATTATTGTTTCTGATAAATGCTCCATGTTCCATTTGATTCAGGATGTTGCTGTTAAGCAACTTGACAGAAATGGGTTTCAAGGGAAACAGGGAATTCCTGGTGGAGGTTTTAATGTTGAGCCTTCTTCACCATTCTAACCTTGTGAACTTAGTTGGATATTGTGCTGATGGTGACCAAAGAATCCTGGTCTATGAGTATTTGGCCAATGGCTCCCTGGAAGATCACCTTCTTGGTATGCTTGCTTGAAGAAACTAATCAGAGATAAAAAAACACAATTTGTTCTTGTCTGTCTACCTTCAGATGAATAACGACACTTACATATACTTGCCTTCTTTACAGATTTACCAGAGGGAAAAGCTCCTTTGGATTGGAATACAGATGAAAGTTGCAGCTGGTGCAGCAAAAGGGCTAGAGTACCTGCACGAAACAGCAGATCCTCCGGTGATATACCGTGACTTCAAAGCATCAAACATATTATTAGATGCCGAGTTCAATCCAAAGCTGTCAGACTTCGGGCTCGCCAAGCTCGTCCAACTGGGGATAAAAACTCATGTCTCGACCAGAGTGATGGGAACTTATGGCTATTGCGCGCCTGAATATGCGTTGACAGGACAACTCACATCAAAATCTGACGTTTACAGCTTTGGAGTTGTGTTCTTGGAGATCATCACAGGGAGGAGGGTGATTGACAATTCAAGACCCACTGAAGAGCAGAATCTTGTGACTTGGGTATGTATATGTGTGCAGAATCTATGACTGTTCCACTGTTCCCTCAAAAGGAATCAACATTTCCTCCTCTATGTTCTCCATGCCCTACAAAGCGAGTCTCAACTTTCTTTCCTGCAGGCATCGCCATTGCTCAAAGACCGGAAGAAATTTGATTTATTGGCAGACCCATTGCTGGAAGGGAATTACCCACAAAAGGGTCTTCATCAAGCACTTGCTGTAGCAGCAATGTGTCTCCAGGAGGAAGCTGCAACCAGGCCATTGATGAGTGATGTAGTGACAGCTCTCGAGTATCTAGCCACGAACAAAGATGCGGGTCAAGGAGGTATATTAGAGGAACCTGAAGAGGGCGAAGAAGATCATATTGAAGCTGATAGCTAGGCTAAAAGTAATTGGATTAAAACTGGTAGATTCTAATGGTGAAGCACCAGAAGAAAACTGAGTTTTTTCTCAGGGGCCAAAGATTAAAAGGAAAAATGGGGAATGCTTGTTTGGTTTGTTTTGGTCATGTTGGCCCCCTATAGGCTGGTCAAAGAAAGTACAAAAACAAAGCTTCATATGTACCAAAAGATAAGTTGTTGGCTGAAGAAATTAGCTGAGGAGCTATTGGTACTTTGTGTAAGTTTTGTAGCAAAGCGGTAACTGGAGAATTTTCCCTTTATGGAAGCGCTCCAGAGTCTCTGGAGAATCCCTTGATCTTTAGCAACATTGCTCCCATGTTTTTTCACATAAGATTACATGGGCATGCTTGCCTACCCATTAGGAACCATATAGTCCAGGAAAGTTTCTCTTTTTGTAAGAAATCCTGCGACGAACCTCCGACCCTATATCACCCTTATTCTTTAAAAGATAAAAAGTGGGTACGCTTTATTACCTTTGTTGGTAGGGGTGTTCCAAAGGTGTGGTTACCATGGTAATCGTTTTAACCAGTACTATTTGGATACTTTGGATAATTGGTTTGGTTTGGTTAAAGTTTTTAGCTTGTTTGGTTTAGGTGGTTTGGTTTGGTTTCAGACACTACTAACCAGTCAAACCAAATTAATCAGATAAATAATTAGCCATATATCTAATATATACACATACTTAATACCTTGAATAACCACTCAAGAGTTAAACGTCCATCCCTTTTAGACTCATAAATATAAAGCTTGATATTGTTCCTATAATGTATATTTGTATATGTAGAGTATAGACCACAACATATGAACGCCAAATTTAGATAAATCTCATACATTATGTTGGATGAAAACTTGAAAGCAATGTCGTTTTCAACCTATGAAAATTGTTAAAAGACTTAAGTCAATTCAAACAAACACAACAATTCATTAACCCATACCATTGTGATGAATTTTGCTAGGTGAATACTTCTATACTAACCGTAAGATAATTGTCTTTGTTGCATGTATTTATGTTAAAGGTCAACTATAACCAAGTGTTGATTGTTATGTTTTATTCATTATATAAATTGTGAATTGATAAATTAACCGAAAATTTTCTCACTTAATGATAATGTGATTTTATATTGGTTAATCTGGTTAACCAATTAACCAAACCGATGAAACTTTAGTTTGGTTGTTGTATTAGTTTGGACGGTTTGGTTATGATATTGTATTCCATGGTTAATGAAATTTAGTCTTATTTGGTTTGGTAATAACCATGGTAACCATTTGAACACCCCTATTTGTTAGGGGTATGTCTCGGGTCTAGTCGCGCCAACTAGTTAGTCCAACGCCACCCCAGAAGAATCACTCGCGTCAGCACCATCGCGCTCAAGACAAGGAGCAACTCGCGGAAAGACCACAGCCGCGGAAAGGACCACACTCGCGGATTGGGTCCGCGAGACGGAACGCGCCCACAAGAACCAAGGCGCCAAACACCGCCGTTTTGCTCAACTCAAGCCGGATTAAGAAGCCAAGAAACGACATCGTATTCCCTGAAGAGTGGTCACATCCTAGTCCTAGGTATAATCATGGCCTAAATGTCTAGCCTTAGGTA